TATTTCAGGCATCAGATGTTGGAAGTGGTGCTCCATCACCAAACAACATAAGAGGATCATCAAGAGGAAGCAATGGTGATAATGAGGGTAGCCAAAGGAAGGCTAGTTAGGCACATTAGTATATTAGAAAATGCTACTTTAGTTTATGTAATGAATCTAAAACTTATGAAGTACTTTGACTCTGTTTGATATAACTATTTATGTTTTCCCTAGTACAAGTAATGAATGAATCAACTTTATGTTTTGTATTTTGTTATTACAAGTTGAAGTATATTGAATGAACTTGGTTAGTTGAATTTTTTAAGAGTTGTTGATTACTTCGATTTCACACAATCATGACATTTTAAATATACAGGTGTTTTTAATATTTAAAATATTTAATTAAAAATTCAATTTTTATAAATAATTATGATGAAAAAAAAATATTTATTTGAAAACTACGACAGTTAGAAGCGTCATACTTTTATGTACAAATTGTTATAATAATGACAGTTTGATCACGCCATATTATTATGGAAATAATGGCGCTCAAAATTGTCATTATTAACCTATATAATTATTTTTTATTGTGTAATTTACGACATTTTAGAGTGTCATTATTTACACGTCTAAACCGGATCTCATATAACTTACTTGTCTAAACTGACCCTAATTAAATATATGTTTTTATATTTATATATGTATGAATTAATTTGAGTTTATGAAATATTTTATTTTATTAAAATTACTTTTTGAAGTTTATCTAAATAAAGTTCGTATAAGATTATAAAATGAAAATTTTAATAACCCCTGCACCGTTCGAAGAAAAAAAAAAAAGTGAAAAAAGAAAAAGAAATATAAATACATTAATTGATACGAAATGAGAAGGATTTTTTTTTTTTTTATCATATTGTCTCACCCTATAATCGCCAGAATATCTCAAGTGAAAAATAAATCAACCCTTATATATTAAAGATAAATTTATATCTTATATAAAAGTGTTTTTAATGATTTTTCTTCTACAAGAGAATTTGTAGAAATTTTTTAAAATTCTTATCTAATTCAATTTTTACTTATCATAATTATTAATATTTTGAAATAAGTTATCAATAAATAAAAATAAATTTTTTATATGATACAAATTATTTATCACAAGTCTAAAATATAATTTCTATATCTAAAAATACTTATATATAATGATTTTAAATATAATTTATATATTTAAACATAATATTTATTTATATATATATATATATATAATTTATTATAAATTTTAATTATATATAATAGACATGTTTATGCATTGCAAAGATTAAAATACTAATATAATTATAAAAATAAATAAATAAATATAAAAAAGTAATAACAAATGTCTAGAAAGATTTTTCACTTTATTGTTCATGTCAACTTAATATATCAACGTTCATTAGTTTAACTAGTGTTAGGTTGGTCCTCAAGTTTCAACATTTTTAGATTTGATAAAAAGAAATGACTTTCGAAAAGATAACCTCAATGTAATTAAAGTTTTAAAGGAAACTAATCTCAATACTCCTGTCAATATCATAGTATAAAAACAAAAAGTCAACTTAATTGATTAATCACAACACAATTTACATACTTTTTTCCTTTTCTATTTTTTTTCTCTATTTTTTTTTTAAAATAGCATATTTGAAATAATTTTCTTGTTCATATTTATACAATAATTTTTTTAGTTTATAAAATATATATAGAATTTATTTTTAATTTTTAAAAATTATGACTATTAATTTTTAATCATAGTTATATATATAGAAAAATTAATTTCTTATATTTTATTATTAATTTTATTTTTTTATAAATTAAAATTAGGTGAATGGTGATTAGTGCTGTTTTATTATTTTTAATATTATTGTGATGGATGATGTCATTTTTAAAAATTATTTAGTTACTTTTATATTTTTATTTTACCTTCAGTTAAAATTTAATTTTTAATTTTTAATTTTTAAAATAAGATAACATTTTATAAGTACTTAAATAATAATATATCTAAACACTTTAAAATTATATGAGTATTTATTAATATGTATATCCAAATATAATAATTTATTAAATTTAAAGTATTTATAATATAAGTTTTTATTACATAAAAGTTTATTGTATAAGATCTAGGGGTGTGCATTAAACCGACACCCGAACCGAACCCGAAAAACCCGAAAAAAAATATTGTTTTTGGGTGGGTTCGGGCGGGTCTTATAGGTAAATCGGGTTAAAATTTTGATTTTATACGGGTTATATTGGGCGGGTTCGGTTTTGAATTTTTAAACCCGCTAAAAATCGAACCCAACCGAAAATGAGATAAGTTTAAATTTTTATTACTTTTGTATAACTAAACAACAATGGTCCAAATTTAAAAGTCTTTATTTCAAGTATAATATAGCCATCAATTTGTAACTTATTTTTTTATTTTAATTATATATAATAGACATGTTTATGCATTGCAAAGATTAAAATACTAATATAATTATAAAAATAAATAAATAAATATAAAAAAGTAATAACAAATGTCTAGAAAGATTTTTCACTTTATTGTTCATGTCAACTTAATATATCAACGTTCATTAGTTTAACTAGTGTTAGGTTGGTCCTCAAGTTTCAACATTTTTAGATTTGATAAAAAGAAATGACTTTCGAAAAGATAACCTCAATGTAATTAAAGTTTTAAAGGAAACTAATCTCAATACTCCTGTCAATATCATAGTATAAAAACAAAAAGTCAACTTAATTGATTAATCACAACACAATTTACATACTTTTTTCCTTTTCTATTTTTTTTCTCTAGATTCCCTCTTTAAAGTGTCTAATTGTTTAAATTAAAAAAAAAAACATTTTTAATAAAACAAATTGTTTTTTTTAACTATTTTTATATGTTTATTTAAATTGTATTTAAAAAATAAATGTTTAATAAAAAACAATTTTTACAATATATTTTTTAAATTTTAAACACCCATAATTAATACGATACTTCCTAAAATTAATTATATACATATTCAATTCTAATCAATAATATTTTATTAAATAGGTCATTTTCTTAAAATTCTCTTTTAAGTTCACGGTAATATTCAATATCTTTTGAATATTATTAATTTATTTTGCTTTTATAAATTTTATTAATATCTTTTGACTTTTATGTTCACTAAAAAAATAAAAATTACATGTATTAAAGATTCAAACTTATCATTGATTAAGTTGAAATAACATTATGTCAGTTGATTCATGCATTAGGTAGAATGT